AGGAGGCTGAGATCTGAAGATCACGGTTCAAAGCAAAGCCCAGGCAGGAAAGTCCCTGGCAGAGTCTTCTCTAATTAATCACACACAAACAAAACAAAACAAGTAGAGCTGTAGCTCAAAGTGGTAGAGCACTAGCCTTGAGTAAAAGAGCTCATGGACAGTTCTCAGGCCCTGAGTTCAAGCCCCAGGACTGACAAAAGCCAAAACAAAACAAAATCTTACAAGAAAAATAGACACTTAATCTTCCTAATCAAGGAGTCTAATAGACTTTTTTTTTAATCAGTTGTGGAGTTTGAACTCTAGGCTTGGGTGTTGTCCCTGCACTCTTCAGCTCAAATCTAGCTCTCTACCACTTGAGCCACAGCACCACTTATGGTTTTCTGCTGGTTAATTGGAGATAAGAATCTCAGACTTTACTTCCTAGGCTGACTTTGAACCACAATCCTCAGATCTCAGCCTCCTGAGTGGCTAGGATTATAGGCATGAGCCTCCACAGCCAGGCTTAAAGAAATCTTTTTTTTTTTTTTTTTTTTGGTTAGTTGTGGGGCTTGAACTCTGGGCCTGGGCACTGTCCCAGTTCTAGGAGAGTACTCTACACTTGACCCATAGTGTCATTTGGACTCATTTAATTATAACATAAAATATCAGACAATGAAAGAGGGAAAAATAGATAAATGGGACTTCAAGAAATGTAAAAAGCATTATAGACACTCATCATACAAAGACCAAATGAGAAAAATACGGTCTATACTGGGAGATAATCTTTGCCAAGGGTAGAAAATGGAGGACTTGAGGGCTGGGAAGGTGGCTCAGTGGTAGAGCGCTTGCCTTGCATGCATGAGGCCCTGGGTTTGATTCCTCAGCACCACATAAGCAAAAAGAAAAAAGCCGGAAGTGGTGCTATGGCTCAAGTGGTAGCGCGCTAGCCTTGAGCTGAAGAGCTGAGGGACAGTGCCCAGGCCCAGGCAGCAAAGTCCCTGAAAGTCTTACCTTCAATAAACTCAAGTGGTAGAGCATTAGCCTTAAGCACAAAGAGGGTCAGGGACCAGGGCCAAGGCCCTGAGTTCAAGTCTCAAAATGGGGGGAAAAAAGCCACAATGTGGTGATGACTCAAGATAATTCAACCTAGAATTACCCCAATTCAACAATTCTCCTCCAAGAAAAACAAAAACATGTTTACACACAAACCTGTATGTGAATATCCACAGCAGCATTATTCATCATAACTAAAAAGTATTAATGGATCACAAAGTGATATATTCACACAGTTTAATATTACTCAGCCATAAAAAGGAACAGGGGGTAGTGTTTAGGATATAAACTCTGATAGAATTCTACCAGCCATGCATGATGCCTTGGATTCAGACATTAATTTTTTTGTGTGTGCCAGTGTGCTTAAACTCAGGGCTTGGGGTACTATCTCTTAGGTTTTTTTTTTTTTTTTTTTCTGCTCAAGGCTAGTGCTCTATGGCTTAAGCCACACCTCCACTTCTAGCCTTTTAGGTAATTGGGGATAAGAATCTCCTGCACTTTCCTGTCCAGAGTTAGCTTTGATCTGTGCTGTTCAGATCTCAGCCTCCTGAGTAGCTAGGATTATAGGCATGAGCCATCAGTGCCCAACTAAGAAATTAAATTCTGGTACTTACTAAAATATGGATAGCCTTGAAAACGCCATGTTATGTGAAAGTCAGCTAGCTGCTATATAAACAGAAAAAGCCAGAAGTGGCTCTGTGGCTCAAGTGGTAGGGTGCTAGCCTTGAGCAAAAGAAGCTCAAAGACAGTGCCAGGCCCTGAGTTCAAGCCTCAGCACTGGCAAAAAAAAAAAAGTCTGGAGTAGTATTAGGACCCTAAAACCCAGTAAATCCCACAGATTAGGACAGATTATATCGTGGAGGGGTAGTAAGGATAGTCTGGCTCTGCCGCTCTTCCCAGACCTGCCCTTGGATTCCATGCTTCCCTGCCGGGCTTCTCTTCCAGTCTCTGATGGTCACAGACGGTCTGGCTTTGCTCTGGGACTTCTGCCCACTACGAGCTTGGAGAACACTGAGTCCTGACAATTCTAAGGCTGCGCCCATACATTCTAAGGTGGAGATGGTGGACAATGGGGGGGGGGTGGATTTTCCTCGGATGGTTGACCCTCCTCTGGGTTAGGACAGCCCGGAAGAGGGCCACTGTGGGAGAGGCCTAATGGGAAAAAGGCCAGGGGAGAGAAGGACTTTGCCAGGACTAACTTCCCAGTACTGAGTGGCATCTGGGGCCCCTGGAAGCCACATGTACATCTGAGTGAGAGTTCAAGGGAGGCGGCCAGAGACCCAGGGGCTCCCAAGGCCTGGCACAGTGGCTCACCACAGGTACAGGTCCTTAAACAGTTGCAAATCGCATGAGTGAGCAAACAAATGGCGCACACTTCAAGTAGGTGAGATGAATCAGTGAAAGAAGCCAGTGGATGAGCATCAGTCAGGCCTGTCGGGTGCTTTGGACCAAGACATGGGGCCATTTGCAGTCTCCATTTCTTTTTCTTTTTGTGATGGTCCTGGGGCTTGAACTCAGGGCCTGTGTGCTGTCCCTGGAATTTCTTTTTTCTTTTGCTTAAAGTGAATACTCTACCACTTGTGCCACAGTGCTACTTGCAACTGTTTGGGTGCTTAACTGGAGATATGAGTCCCATGGATTTTCCTGCCGGGGCTAGCTTCAAACCACAGCCCTCAGATCTCAGCCTCCTAAGTGGCTAGGATTACAGGCAGGAGCCACTGGCTCAGTTTATCTTGCAATCAGGGCTGAACCCATTAGACTCATTTGGCTATCAGGAGAATATGGTTCACTTTGCCCCAGCAGGAAAAGAAAAAAAAAAAGTTCCCCTTGGACATTGACAGGCCGGCTGTGGTTTGAAGTGGGAGAGACACCTTTGAGATCTCAAAGTCACAGCCTTTCTCCTGGGGAGATGGGGGCCACTGACCCTGCGGGCCCAGGAGCACTATGGGAATGGAGTTACTGTTGCCTCCCAGCAATTTAGTGGGTAGGAAGAGTGCTGAGGTGATGGAAAGCTTGGAGAAGAAATGGGAACTTTTCAGGAAGGCGTGGTGGTGGGGAGGGTACTGGAGAGGCGTGAAGGGGATGGAGCAGAGGCTGGGAGGAGGGGGAGTCTCTGGGGTTTTATTATAGGACCCCACCTGTAGTACAAACAGGTATTTGCACAGACTGGTGGTACAGCTGAGTGGGAGGCTGCATGGAGGGTGGCAGGACAGCCCTGAGAAAGGCTTAGAAAAGGACTGGGGCTGGGAAGGTGGCTCAGTGGTAGAGTGCTTGCCTTGCATGCCTGAGGCCCTGGGTTCAATTCCCCAGCACCACATAAGCAAAAAGAAAAAAGCCGGAAGTGGCGCTGTGGCTCAAGTGGTAGAGCCCTAGCCTTGAGCTGAAGAGCTGAGGGACAGTGCCCAGGCCCAGAGTTCAGGCCCCACAACTGGACCCCCCCACCCCCCAAAAAAAGTTAGCCTTGCAAAAAGGAAAGGATCTCTCCAGGAAAGGGTAGGCAGGCACTGTGGCAACCTGCAGATTGCCAGCAGAGACCTTGAGGTCCTGAAAACAGATGGACAGATGCTCCCCAATTCCTCTACCTTAGCCACATCCAAGAACATGGAGTTTGCGTCTACTGCAGCAAAGAGCTGTGACATCTGGGGATCGCTGTAAAAATGTATATTAGCCAGCACTGGTGACTCATGCCTGTAATCCTAGCTACTCAGGAGGCTGAGATTTGAGGATCATGATTCAAAGCCAGTCTGGGCAGAAAAGTCAGTGAGACTCCTATCTCCAATTAACTACCGGAAAATTGAAAATGGCACTGTGGCTCAAGTGGTAGAGTGCTTGCCTTGAGCTGAAGAGCTCAGGACAGTGCCCAGGCCCAGAGTTCAAGCCCCACAACTGACCACACACACACACAAAAAAAGCAGCTACTGAGGAGGTGGTGATCAGGATTGCTTTCAGAGGCTAGCCTAGGCCAAAAAAAGGGGCAGGAAGGAGACAGACTAGGCTCTATCTGAAAAAAGTCTAGGAATGTGGTTCACATTGTAGAACACATGCCTAACAAGCTTGCAGGCCTCATTTCAAACCAGTACTGCCAAAAAAAAAATAAGTAGATAAATAAAATGTACATTAGTTTTTTAAAGGCTCTGAGAAGTCCTGTAAGAAAGAGCTGCTTTCAGCTGGGCAGGCACTAGTGGCTCACGCCTGTAATCTTAGCTACTCAGGAGGCTGAGATCTGAGGATTGCTGTTCAAAAGCAACCCAGGCAGCAAAGTCCATGAGCCCTCTCTCCCCTCCTCACCCACCAGTCTTGAAGCTTGACCTCTAATCCTGGGTGCTGCCCCTGAGCTCCATTTACTTAAGTATAGCACTCTACCACTTGAATCACAGAACCACTTCTGGCCTTTTCTGTCATTTAATTGGAGATAAGACTTTCTGTCCAGGCTGGCTTTGAACTGCAATCTTCAGATCTCAGCCTCTTGAGTAGCTAGGATTACAGGTGTGAGCCCCCCAGCAGCTGGCTCTGGGAGACTCTTACCTTCAAATAACCGCTGAAAAGCTAGAAGTGGAATTGTGGCTCAATTGGTAGAGCACAAAAGCTCAAGGACAGAGACCAGGCCCTGAATTCAAACTTTAGGACCAGCGTGCGCACGCGCATACACACACACACACACAATTAAAAAGCAGATGCCAGACTTTGGAGAGTGGAATTGTGACCAGCGTGTCTCAGAGTCCTCGGCACTCTCTTGGGCTGTTCTCAAGGTGATCCCCTGGGCTCAGGTGCTAATCTCAACTCTAGGTTCGTGCAAGAGCCTGCAGTGCTGAGTGATAGCTTCGGGCTGGACCTCTAAGTCCAAAGGACTTGTCTCTCTGCCTCTTGGCACCTCTGCACTTCTTCCAGTACCTTCTCCAGTTAAGTATGAGAATCTTCGTCCCCAAGGCCAGGGGAAGGCCAGGGAGGATTGGAGTTCTTGCTCTAGAATGGGTGCTCAGGCCCAGCCCCTGAGCCAGCCCCTGTGGACATCTCTGTTCCAGATGCTTCCACATCCTGCACAGAGGAGCAGCTCCAAGCAGTCTCCATCTCCCCGAGGGCAAGAGAGGAGGTTTGGACTCACTGAAGCATCAGAGAAGAGGCCTAGAGAACTTGGGACCCAGGAGCAGAAGCCCCCAGCAGGACCAGGGTGAGTTTTTTGTTTTGGGGGTGGGGGAGGCAAGGGAGCTCCCAGAGGAGGGGTCCAGGTGAGAGACAGAACTGAGAACTCCCAGACTAGGCCAATCTGGCCAACCACAGCACCCTGAACCTCCCTTTCGTAGCACCAACTGCACTCAAGATAATTTGCGCTAACCATTTTTTTCCCTTGTGCCAGTCCTGGGGCTTGAACTCATGGCCGGGGTGGTGTCCCTGAACATTATTGCTCAAGGCTAGCACTCTACCACTTGCGCCACATTCTTGGCTTTTAGTGGTGAACTGGAAACAAGAATCTTCCAGACTTTTCTGCCTGGGATGGCTACAAACTGAGATCCCCAAATCTTAGCCTCTTGAGTAGCTTGGATTACAGGTGTGAGCCACTGGCACTTGGCTTAGGCTATAATCTTAAATGATGAAATCACATAGACCATGAAATTATGTAAACAATGCATGAGAAAAGAGATGACGTGGCTCAGGATGCACTGTACTTAGAGGCTGCTTTGTGGAATGGTGCCCTGTTGTGCTGAAGTAAACCTAGCTGCCTCTCCTGGTAACTATGTTCCAGGCAAAGGCCATTTTGTTGGAATGTGGCTAGGTGAGGCCGGAATGTGGGTTTATGGCTAAATGGTGAGGTTATCTGGATCAATAACAGAAAGCCCACAAGGTAATTTTTGAAATTGCACACCTGGTTTGGAGTTGACATCATCCCCACCTGGCATTTGCCTTTCTGATGAATGACTTGATCTGTGTGTGTGTGTGTGTGTGTGTGTGTGTGTGTGTGTGTGTGTGTGTGAGCAGTTTACATAAAACCCAGGGCCAACCAGGCACCAGTGGCTCACACCTGTAATCCTAGCAGCTACTCAGGAGGCTGAGATCTGAGGATCATGGTTCAAAGCCAGCCCAGGAAGGAAACTCTATGAGACTCTTAGCCCCAACAAACCACTAGAAAACCGGAAGTGGCACTGTGGCTCAAGTGGTAGAGCGCTCGCCTTGAGCTGAAGAGCTGAGGGACAGGGCCAAGCCCAGAGTTCAAGCCTCATGACTGACAAAAGAAAAAAAAAAAAAGAAAGAAAAGGTCAGATACAAAGTTCCCAGTCTGGGGAAAAAAAAAATGAAATCCTTATCCCCTTCTCCATTGATGTCAAAATCTTTGTGGCTTGGTAACTTTTGCTAGATCTTCCCTCATTCTCCTAGGCGTTAAGCCTCTGGGATCCATTCAGAAGTATTAGAGCAGAGACCAGCTCCAGGCTAGGAGCTGAGGCCCTTGTGGATTTTTCCCTTCAGGAAGCAGTCATCTTGGACAGCCCTGGAAGGGCTTGGGGGACTGCACGTAAGCTACTCTGGAGCCATTCTCAGAGGGCTGCAGCAGCTGGGGACAGAGACCAAGGACCAGCTAGGGACATGGAAGAACCCAGGGACTGAAAGCGGCCAGGTAACCACCCCCACCCCAGGAAACCCTACCGGCAGAAGGGACTGGGAGGCTGAGGGCAGGGATTTCCACTGAAGGCAGGAAGTACTCCTCGACTGGTGCTGGACATTAAAGATAACATGTAGCCAGGGCAGGTCAGCAGCTCTTGGGTCTGCCATAGCTGCCAAGCACCCAGTCTGTGGGGATATTCAGAGGGCCTGCATTGAAAGTGTTTAAGTCTTAATTTCAGAGAGGCCCTACTATGTGTCTTGGGTGGGGGGAGGGGGGCAGGTTCTATGCAGGTTGGACCATGCTGAGCTGAACAGAGCAGACACAGTTCCATGCACCATAATATATAGGAGCTGGGCCTCGCCGTATCTTGCCAGCCATGGTTAGAGCATGGTACCTTTTCCTATTTATATAGACTTTTCTTCACATTTATTTGTAAGTTTTAGGGGTTTATAAAAATAGCTTTAGTGAGGTATGACTGACACACACTTGCTAGTTTGCACAGCACATATTCAATTTAACGTTTTTGTTTTTTTTCTTTCATGTGCGGGTACTAGGTCTTGAACTCAGGGCCTTGCACTTCTTTTTCTTCCTTTCTTTTGTGTGCTGGGACTTGAACTCAGGGCCTCACTTAGCACTTTTGCTCAAGGTTAGTACTCTACCACTTGAGCCACACCTCTACTTCCTGCTCTTTGCTGATTAATTTAACTTATGAGTCTCATGAACTTTTCTGCCCAGGTTGGTTGGGAACCATCATCCTCAGATCTCAGTCTCCTGAGTAGCTAGAATTACAAGCATGAGCCACTGACACCTGGCATGCCTGCCTTTCTTTCTTTCTTTCTTTCCTTCTTTCTTTCTTTCCTTCTTTGCTTCTTTCTCTCTTTCTTTTTTTTCTTTTTCTTCCTTTCTTTCTTTTACCAGAACTCAATCTCAGTGTCTGCCACTTTCACTCATTGGCTAGTGCTCTACTAACTGAGCCATGCCTTCCCCCCTTATCCCCAGCATACATTCTATTCATCTTTTTCTTCCTCTCAATCTGATTAATTTAAAAATCACAGGTGTTCCTATGCCTATGAGCACTGCATTCTTTTCCTTGCTGAGTAGTATTCCCTGGTATTGATTCATCATGATATCCTTATCCATTAGCCTAGTGATGGACACTTGGGTGTTTTGAGGGTTTTTTGTTTGTTTTTGTTTTTCTTACTGATGCTGGGGCTTGAACTCAGAGCCTGGGTGCTGTCCTTTAACTTTTTTTTTTGTCGGTCGTGGGACTTGAACTCTGGGCCTGGGCGCTGTCCCTCAGCTCTTCAGCTCAAGGCGAGTGCTCTACCACTTGAGCTACAGTGCCACTTCCGGTTTTCTGGTGGTTTATTGGAGATAGGAGTCTCACGGTCTCTCCTGCCCGGGCTGGCTTTGAACTGCGATCCTCAGATCTCAGCCTCCTGAGTAGCTAGGATTACAGGCGTGAGCCACCAGTGCCCGACCTGTCCTTTAACTTTTTATTGCTGAAAGCTAGCACACTACCTTGTGAGCCACAGCTCCACTTGTGGCTTTTTTGCTGGTTCATTGGAGATCAGAATCTCATGGACTTTCCTGCCTGGGCTGGCTTGGAACCATGACGCTTCTCATCTTCCTGACTAGCTAGGATTACAGGCATGAGCCCCCTGTGCCCGGTTCCAGTTTTTGACTATTACCAGCACCACTTTGATGAACATGCATACCCACACTGGACAAACATACTCATTGCTTTTGGGAAAATAGCTGAATGGGCCATGGATCATATGGTGGTGTGGGTAGAAATGATTAAGAAGCTGCCAATGTTTCTCCCAAGTGTTTGGACCATTTTGCATCCCTACCAGCAATGTATGAGGATCTCAGTTTCAACTCAGCTGTCCTGCACTGCATGGGGGCAGTATTTCCAAACTTAGGCATTCAAAGAGACTGGGTAGTTGAAATTCCTTGCAGTCTTAATTTGCATTTCCTTATAAGGTTGACCTAAAGAGGTTGGCTATCATGAACTTAAAACATACATATTTGTTTATCTTCTTTGGAGAAATGTCCTTCAAATACTTGCCTAAGTTTTTCAATTTTTTAAAAATTTTTATATTTTGCCTGTCCTGGGCAAAAAATTCAAGTTCAAGCCCCTGAACTTCTTTGTGCTCAAGGCTAGTACTCTATCACTTGAGCCACAGGGCTGCTTTTGGCTTTTCCTGAGTAGTTTATTGGAGATAAGAGTCTCACAGACTTTCTGGCCGAGCCTGGCTTCAAACTGTGATCCTCAGATCTCAACCTCCTGAGTAGCTAAGATTATAGTGAGCCACTGGTACACTTTTTTGTTTGTTTGTTTTTTTGCATGTGGCTACCCAATTATTCCCCCACCATTTATTGAAGATGACCCTTTCTCAAAGTTGTCACAAATCAACTTGCATGTACCTGAATCCATGCCTAGAATTTCTCTCTTTAGTGCTAGGGATTTAACCTAAGGCTTCGCCCATCCTGGGCAGGAGCTCTACCACTGGGCTGCATTGTACTCTACAATCTCTATTTTGTCCCACTCACATACTTATGATTATTCAAATATACCATCTTTATCAGTAACTTTGTAATACATGTAGAAATCTGTGTACAATCTCCTCCCTACTAAGGAGTTCATGGAGCATTATGTCAGCAGTACTGGAAATTGAACTCAAGGCTTAGTGGTTCTAGGCAGGTGCTCTCTCTCTCTGAAGCCATGCCTCCAGCCCAAAGAATGGTGTTTATTTCTTGCTTTCTTGGGGTCCCATTCACTCTCCCTGGCCTGGGGGCGGAAGGGGAGGGCGGCGTGGAGCATGGAGTAGAATTTGGGTAGGTCATACTTTCTCTGTGTCTTAATTTCCTTATCCCTCACAAGATGGGCCCAATGCAGACTTACAGGGGCTCTGGGGGACTCAGTGGGATGATGCCAGCAGGGGGCGGGACATAGTGCATAATCGCTGGTCTCAGCATAAGTGTCTGTTATCAGTCACCACCAGGTCACCAGGCAGCAAATGGGTCAAATGTGACACCATCAACAGAGTCTTCTTGTACCTTGGACAGCTGGGGACAGTCTGTGGGTGACGATGTCCCCAGGGAGAGAAGCATCTCATGGGAGTGTCTGCCACAGCTCACCCCAGGGGGAGGTGAGGACAGCTCGCAGAAAGCAATGCTGCTGATGCCCCTGGAAGCTGCAGCCAGTCCCTCCTTGACACCCACGCCAGAACCTCAAGCCCACAAGCAAGGGTAGGTCACACGCACAGCCATCCCCTGCCCTGACTGCCGTCCTAAGGCACAGGTGGGGTACGATCTAGTCCTGGCTGCCCCGTGAACTGCTGTAGAAACGAACTTCTGGGCCTCGGTCTCCCCATCGGCACCATCTTTCTGGTGGCTGGTGTGCATGAGAACATGAGAGGTGGGTTGGGGGGGATGGAGCATCCTGGGAGGCTTAGAGGTGGGCACAAGGGGCAACCTTGAGCTGAGCCCCTCCGCTGGGGTCTCTCCCCTCTCTAGAGGCAAGGCTATGGAGGACCAGCCAGCACCAGAGCCTCTTCTGCCAGTAAGTAGGACTAGTAGGGGGTGGGAATGGGGAACAGGGTGTGGGATGACAGGGAAGCAGAACAAAGAAGGGCAAAGACAGAAATAGGATGGCGCTGGGCATCAAATGGGGGGAGGGGGGAGAAGTGCAGTATGAGCCTGTGTGTAAGAGCATGACGTGTGATTGCACACGTGTGAGGATGACACTTGTGGTTCCACACCAGCGTGAATTCTTCCACAACGTGCCCTTAGCCAGCACTTCCCTGAATACCTAGAGGCTGGCCCCACCCTGCCATTTTCCTTTTTTAATATATATTTTTTATTGTAAAGATACTGTACAGAATTGGTAATTGAGTACATTTCCTACTGAGCACTGTTACCTCCTCCTTTGTTTTTCCCCTACCATCCCTTCCCTACCCACCTCCCCAATTCTTCCCCAACTCCCTTTTTTTCCTTCCTTTATTTCTTCCTTTTTTTTTGGTCAGTTGTGGGGCTTGAACTGGGCCTGGGCGCTGTCCCTGAGCTCTTCAGTGCAAGGCAAGCGCTCTACCACTTGAGCCACAACACCATTTCTGGTTTTCTGGTGGTTTATTGGAGATAAGAGTCTCATGGACTTTCCTGCCTGGGCTGGCTTTGAACCTCGATCCTCTGATCTCAGCCAGGATCTCTAGCTGACATCTCAGCTAGGATTATGGGTGTGAGCCACCGGCACCCCGCTGCTTCTTCCTTTCTGTGTCCTGGTACTGGTTGAACTTGGGGCCTAGGTGCTGTTCCTCAGCTGTTTTGTTCTCCGCTTTTTGTTAGTTAATTGTACGTAAGAGTCTTATGGATTTTCCTGCCTGGGCTGGCTTTTAATGTGATCAGATCTCAGACCCTGTGTAAATCCCAGGCTCTTGTAGCCTGCTGCCTGGCTGAGTTCTGTGGAGAGAAGTTCTCTCCTCATTCTGAATGAGTCCAGAGCAGGACACCATGGTCCCACCTCACAGCTGCTGCAGTCCAGTCTTCCTCATCTCAGCAAACCAGACACTTCTGATTCCCCCCCAATAATCCTTATAATCTGACATATCATGAAGCCCTACAGAGCACTGCCTACAAAGTAAATCCTGCCTCTGCCTCTGTCCTGCCTTCCCTTCCTCATCACCCTGATCCAGGCTGCATCCTCTTAGAGTAAGACCAAAAGCCATAAGGCTTTATGACCAGGTTTGGTGAGATTTCTATTTCTTGGATATGCGACACTTCTTTATACCTTAGGGCCCTTGCACAAGCTATCCCTGTGCCTGAAATGTACCCATAGATATTCTCATGGCGGACTCTACACAAGTCAGCAAAGTTTCAGTTTAAATGTTAGTTTCTTAGCAGTCTTTGATAGCTACCCCAAAATAGCTTGCCAGCAGCACTTTCACATTAAGGATAATGTAGGACCATGTAGTACTTATGTGACATGATTATACTCATTTATAAGCCTATTTATTATCTAGAGCAGAATTAATTACTATGTTATTCTGTGTTATTCACTCTGTGTCACTAACATGGACTGTTAATCACCACTGCATGCTCTGTGCCTAAAACAATGTCCAGCACACAGTAGGTACTCAACATGAACCTGGTGGTGAATAAATGAGTGGGTGGGAATCATAGCAAGCACCTGCCTGGGCTGACAGGAAGTCAGATGAAAAACAGGAAGTGATCTTTGCCTAAGTATTTTCTCCTCTTTCCAGCCCTGCCCAGTCCTGCCCAATCCTGTGGACGATATGGAAAAGGAGAAGGGAGGAGAGGGAAAGGGAGAGAAGAAGAAGAGTAGGGAGAGGGGGAAGGGAAGAGGATAGGGGAGAGGAGGAGAGGGTCTGGGAGAAAAGAGGCTTGTCAACGCTAAGCCCAGCAGGTAGGGCAGAGTGAAGAAGGTGGGGTTGGGGCAGTGGGAGATGAATTCTAAAGGCTGGTGTGGGGTCAGATTGTGCCCGCTCATGATGCCAGGGTGAAGATCTGGGGGGGGGTACATTTCAAGTCTAAGCCAAGCGATGAACCAATTTTAGGCAATATTGTGAGACGACGTGACTTGAGCTGGAGTCACATGATTGCAGTAGCTGTCTAATGGACTGGGCTCTGGGACCAGGGCAGAAATTGGGGCAGGGCACTGGCAGAGGGACAGTGTGTGACTGAGGCCAGGGGTGTGGTGGCAGGTATGAAAGGAAGCACACAGGATTTTGGAGGTGGTGCCAGCGGGACTTGTTGCAGGACTGCCTGGTAGACAGGTAGGCTGGAAGAAGCAGAAATCTGAAAGCTCTAGTCTGACTCCATTAGCAAGGCTGCTATCCAAAAATCTCCTGCTGGTGCTGGTGGCTCACACCTGTAATCCTAACTACTCAGGAGGCTGAGATCTGAGGATCACAGTTTGAAGCTAGCTAGCCTGAGCAAGAAAGTCTATGAGACTATCCCCAGTTAACCAGCAAAAATCCCAGAAATGGAGCTGTGGCTCAAGTAGAAGAGTGCCAACGCTGAAAAATCGTGAATATTCAGAGGAGGAGGAGCAGCCCCAGATCTGTCAGTCAGTTGGGACTGCAGGCCTCCCATATGTCCTCCCCTGTCCCCAGGAGATGAGGGACGTTGGCAAGAAGGTGGCACTGGGCCATGTGCAGAAGTCAATGCAGGAATCTGGGGTGACTGCAGGGACCCCGAGCCCCGGGACCCTGTTCCAGGGGTTCATGAAGTGCCTGCTAGAGGTGGAAGAAGAGGAGGCCACCCACCGGAAAGCCTCGAAGGCCCGGGCTCTGGCAGCCCGGAGGTCCTCTAGGACTCCCACGACTGTGCCCTTATCAGTGTCTATCAGCAACTCAGCCCCAGCCTCACCTCTGACCCTGAATCAGCCTTCCATCTTGGCCTCGGCTACCATCCCAACGTGGACCCAGCAATCAGTTCCAACCTCTGCCCCCATGGCAGCCACAGCCACCGGGTCAGAGCCTGGCCCAGTCCTGCTGACCCCCAACCCGGAGCTAGCCTGGAGATGGCCAGACCCCATGCCCCACAACGAGAGGAACTACCCTAAGGCATGGTAGGAGCCCTGGGGCCAGGGCTGCTATTCTCAGCCTTGTCCCTTGTCCCCTTCATACTCTTGTGGCTGTCTGCCTGCTCTGTCCCTGACTCCTACCCTCCCCTGTCTTCTCTGAGCTCCCTACTCCAGCAACTCCAGCCTTCTGGCTCCTTTTCCCCCTCCCCTCTTCTTTCTCTCCCTTAGATCACTGCCCCTCCAGCTCTGCCCCACTTCTCCTCTGGGTCCCCCTCCCCCCTCCTCCCTCGTCCCTCCCTCTTCCCCCCTCCCTGCTCCCCAGGGTTTGAAGAACACTCCTATGTCACATGACCCTCTTCTGCCCTGCCTTCCCTCCCTGGCGACCTAGGGGCAGCTCTGGGCAGGAAGGGTCCAGCCGCCCGCTGCCCTGGCCGCGCTGCCCTGGGCCTGTCACCCTCTGCAGGCAGGAGATGGAAGAGCGTGGCCTCCGGTGGTGCCAGAACTGGGAGGAGCAGTTTGAGGAGCAGCTAACCACCAAGCAGGAGGAAGGTGGGCCCGGGCAGCTGCCCCAGGGTCTCCTGCGCTCAGCCTGGGCACCGGGCAGGGCAGGGGGGACGGCAACCCGCAAGGCCACTCCCACCGGGTCCTTAAAACTCTGGGGTGTGCTGGGGTCCCCAGAGCCACCTCAAGGGGACAGAGCTGCAGACTCTGAGGCCTCTTCTGCCTCCTCTACTCCGTGTTCCTGCATGTATCCTCTCTGGAGACAGCTCGTAGGGCAGAGGGCCCCCTGGTCCCATACAGTGGCTCTGCTTGTAACCAGCCCTAGGCAGGCTTCTGTGTACCACTCATCCGAACGTTAAAAAGTTCTGAACCTCCATCCTGGGTGAGGAACAGTGCCCTCTCCTCTCTAGGGTTCTTGGGAGGGACATCATGTGGTAAGCTCCTCACCACTGTCTGGGCCCTAGAATATGTATCTGCCCATCCCCCACTCCTCCCCAAACTCTGAAACTCTCCTGACTAGCGTGGTCCCTTCCTCGTCCTTCCTGAATGCATTCAAGTCTGCTGTAACATCCTTAAAACTCTATTTTTAGCGTTAAATTCCCTAGGCTGCTAGGCATGGTGATACAATTCTATAATCCCAGCGCTCAGAAGGCTGAAGCAGGAGGGTCTCTAGTAGAGGCCAACCTAGGCTATACAGTGAGACCCTGCCTTGAACATCCCATGCCATTTGGGAGCCAGCGGTCAAGATGTTTTCCTAAGTACAGCTCTACCTTCTTGAGCTACTCACAAACAATAAGCTAGCCCTGTTGTCATGGAGACGCAACATTTCCATCTCCAAGGCTCAAGTCGGGCAAGAGAGCTGACTGCTTTCATCCCTCTGGCTTTTTTTGGTTTTGGTAGAGATGTGTGTGTGTGCTGGTCCTGGGGCTTGAACTCAGGGACTGGGTGCTGTCCCTGAGCTTTTATACTCAAGGCTAGCACTCCACCTCTTAATCATAGCTCCACTTCTCAGTGGAGATAGGATTTTCATGGTCTTTCCCGCCTGGACTGGCTTTGGACCATGATCCTTAGAACTCAGCCTCCTAAGTAGCTAGGATTGTAGGCCTGAGCCACCATCCCTCGGTTTGCTTTGCTATTTTTTTATTTTTTGGGTCCGGTTGTGGGGCCTGAACTCTGGGCCTGGGCGCTGTCCCTCAGCTCTTCAGCTCAAGGCTAGCGCTCTACCACTTGAGCCACCCAGTGCCACTTCCGGCTTTTTTTCTTTTTGCTTATGTGGTGCTGAGGAATCAAACCCAGGGCCTCATGCATGCAAGGCAAGCGCTCTACCACTGAGCCACCTTCCCAGCCCCTGCTTTGCTATTTTAATAAGCTGTGGGTGGGATGGACAGGGGCAGCAAGGCCCACCCTGTGCCTAGGGTAAGCCTGCCCCCACTATCAGCCTTCCGCAGCTACTTCGACATTTTCGACGGCCCTGGTGAGGTGGACGCAGAGAGCCTGAAGAACATCCTGTTCCTTATGGGCTTCACCCTGACACAGGCCCAGGTAGAGGACGCGCTGATGAGTGCTGACGTCAATGGTAAGCAGGGCAGGGGGCTTCACTCTGAGCCCCAGGTTGGGTCTGCCTGGGCGCAGGGGCTTTCCCGCTTGAACAACCCATGCTTTTTGTTTTGTTTTTGTCTAGTTTTTTGCTGGTCATAAGGCTTAAACTCAGGGCCTATACACTGGCCCTGAGCTGTTTTTGCTCAAAGTTGTCGCTCTACTATTTTGACCCATGGACTACTTCTGGTTTTTTAGTGGTTAATTGGAGATAAGGGTCTCACAGGGACTTTTCTGCCTGGGCTGGCTTCAAACCATGAGATCTAAGGATCTCAGCCTCCTAAGTAGCTAGACTGCAGATGTGAGCCCCCAGCCTCTGCTTTATCTCCTGTGAGATGTGATCATATACCTTTTTCTTTTCTTTTTTTTTTTGCCAGTACTGGGGCCTGAACTCAGGGCCTGAACACTGTCCCTGGACTTCTTTTGCTCAAGGCTAGCACTCTACCACTAGAGCCACAGAATCACTTCTGGCTTTTTCTGTTTATGTGGTACTGAGGAATCCAACTCAGGGCTTCATGTATGCTAGGCAAACACTCATACCACTAAACCATATTCCCAGCCCATGAGCATATACCCTTTAGAGATGAGGAAACTAAAGCTTCCTAGGGTTAAAAGACTTAGTCAAAGTCAACTGGGTAAGAAGTGGTAGACCTGGGATTTGATCACAGACCCGTAGCTTCTAACTCAGAATTTAGTTTTCTTTCTCCTTTCTGTATTTTTCTGCCTTGAACCTGCATTACTTTTACAATCACACCCAATGAGTGAAGGCTAGTGCCATGGCCAGGGTTGCTTTAGAAGGTCCCTGGCCACCCTGTCACCCCTCTGGCCCACTCAGGAGATGGTCACGTGGACTTCAAAGACTTCTTGGCTGTGATGACGGATACCAGGCGCTTCTTCTGTTCTGTGGGTGAGCAGGGACAAGTTCAAGCCACTCAGAGCTGAAGGAGGGATCTGGAGGCAGGTAGGACACCCAGGGGCCCTCCAATGGTAACCATGACCACCCCATCCTATGTACCAGAACACAATCCCCCGACGGACACCGCCCCGCCGAACCCTCACACACTGCTTTTTGAGATCCTGTCTCTGCTCGTGGAGATGTTGGCCCTACCGGAGTCAGCCTTGGAGGAGATCACAAAGTGAGTTGGGATTGGAGCACTGGATATGGAGGGTAGTAGCATAATGGTGGAATCTAATGTTTTGACAGCAGAAGATTTTTGACAGGACTCTTAGTTGCAGATGAGAAAAACTCCTTAAATAACTGGTCTGAGCTTCAGGAATGGCTGGATCTAGGAGACCAAAGGGTATCAGTAAGGCTTTATCTCTTCACCTGTCTATTTCTGTGTGTTTGGAAGTTCAGGGAGACTCTCCGCATGGAAATGATGGTAGTGTGCAGCCCATATCACACTCTCCTAAGAAGCACAGCAGTTATTTGTGTGTGTGCACAGCTGTAGATCATTTATCATGTGCACTATAGAGACACTATTATGCAACATGACTATCATAAGACCTTTAAACATGAGGCTATGTTCAATTTCCAGCAAATACTCCTTTTTTTTGGGGGGGGGGTCCGGTCGTGAGGCCTGAACTCTGGGCCTGGGCACTGTCCCTCAGCTCTTCACCTCAAGGCTAGCGCTCTACCACTGAGCCACCTTCCCAGCCCCCCAGCAACTATTCTTGTCTCTAGGAACATATGGTCAAGAATTTCTCTCCAGGGCTGGGAAGGTGGCTCAGTGGTAGAGCGCTTGCCTTGCATGCCTGAGGCCCTGGGTTCGATTCCTCAGCACCACATAAGCA